CATTACATGTCGTTTTTTCATTACATTCTGTTATATTTATTTTCTATTTTCTTTAGAAATGAAAGTCATATTTACTACTTTTAAGCGATATTCCCTACGTCTTAATCATTAGTGTTCCAAAAGCATCGTCGTTCATATAATCACTGTACAGTGTAATGCATCCGTGATTCATTCCCAAGATAAAGTATTGCTGGTGGTATGCTGTAAATAATTGTTACCATCAAAGTAATCAAGTCCCGAGACGACTTCATTGCGTACGTCATACGGTTAATGTTAAAAAGATAAATTAATTATTTTCTTTATTTAACTAAAACTAATTATTTTGTTCTCCGTATAATTTGTTTAAAGCGTTCTTTCTCTAAAACTTCATCATTTTGTGGTAGTGTTATAAAAGTGAATTGCTAGAATTTTGTTGATGAAATCAAATTGCGATTCCAGTCCATCATTGTTGAACGTCAGTGTGTGTGTGTGTTTGCAGACCATAAACACGACCATTTATGACGGAACACGTCGCGTGCTGAAATCTTATTAAGTTTGATAGCCGGCATAGAATAATGTTTCTGAGAAGCTTGTTAGCGAAAACGTAATTTATTCTGATTATTAAAAAACACAAATTAGGAATTATAACGAAATAATCCAACAAATGTTGAATTCTCATGTTTGAAATACCCCAGAGATCCGTTTCTCATTTGTCAACATTTTTTCTCTCTCGTAAAAATCACTTGTATTGCACGTCCGCACACATTTTAGGTATTCATAATTATTTTTGGTGGGTGTCTGGCATTCCTATTCCCTTACCCTATCTGAACTAACATTAAAAGTGAATGTGACGTCACACTGCTAAGTGACTTTATCATATCTAGCTTCACATGTACTGTTCCCTTTTTTGATGTAATAATTCTTTTGTACACATTAGCCAATTGAAGAAAAGGTCCTCGGATTAACCCTAACCGTTTTGAACATTGGTGATGGTGTTTTAAGAACCAAGCAAGAGTTATATCCCTTTGTGGCAACACAACCGAATATGATTGATAATAAAACAGATAATTAAAAGTCTCCGTGCTATTAAAATTAAAACAAATTCTCTATTTACAAAGTGGAAAGCCTTTATTCGAAGTGATGTTTTGTAAGTCTCATACACGTAGTGCTAGTTGTATCCTCTAGGCTTCCCGTTTCCCACTTCACTCACTCGTTCGTTGCAGCGCCCCAACCCTAATCGAATTGAAGTACATGTATATACATACAATATAGACAATGTGTATCCACAACAACACATGATATCATGTTCTCCTTATGCATGGATCAGAGGATCAAACAACATGAAAACTTCAGTACCTTCAGTCAAACTAGGAACGCTATTCTCTCCCTAAACGCAATGATTATGTCACATCTGTCAGGTTTAAACTTCTCTGCAAAAAGTCATTGATTAATACTGGTTGTTCATGGTTATAAATAACCCTTTGATCATATTGATATTGGGATAATGGATTGAAGTATTCTATTGAAATCATATACTACCAGAGGGCTTCCGAAGGGAGCTCTTATTCGGCACTCTTTTCGTGCTGACCAGATGTGATTCCCGCCAGAACCGATAGTTTATGGTTTCATATGTCAGTGACCGTCTGTCAGGTTGCATTAGCACAAAACGTCCGCCAGAAAATGTAGATTTGAATGTTGTGACAATTTGTAACAAGTTGATAGGGAATGCTGGAGACATCAGCAAAGAAGAGCAAATGGAGGCGCCATGATCGTTCTTCTATAGTTTAATCATGTTTGGTTGGATTGCCTCGTTTTCGTCACAGACGTGGATGATACACGATTGAAGTGGTAAATACATTGTGAGCAGGTATTGATTGTTACGTGATTGGTTTGTGTGAGAAAATTACGTCGTTTTCTCAAAAATTGATGACGTTACTCTCACAAACAAATGACGTAACAATCAATACCTGCTCACAAGAGAAGATAACTCTGCAATACGAAAAGACGGAATATAAGTTATTTCAGCTTAGGTTTGTGTCCGGTTAGGGCAAAAACAAACAATACTCGCTCCACTGACCTTACAATGACCGCCATGCTCTCATATTCTCGCTCCCCGAGACCTATACATGGCTGTCATGATATCGTATCCTTGCTCTCTCGAGACCTAACTATTGACTGTCATTTTTTCGTATTCCCGCTCCCCCGAGACCTAACAATTCGCTGTCATGTTCTTTTGTTCTCACTGCCTCTAAACATAAACTGTTCCTATCCTCGTTGTCATGTTTATGCATCGCGTTTATGTTACAGCAGCGCTGGGGCGAGAACGTTTGTAATGCGATGGTACAAGTATCACAGGTATAACATCATGGTATGTTCTTTTCCTGTCATATGATGAGGTTGTTAATGAATATAATACAATGTAATATAAAATAATTTATAATATTATAATACAACACAATAGTTCATATAATATTGCATATGGTTTTCTTTGATTATATAACATAACAGCCCTTGTTCCTTTTTTTGTCTTGCAAGTGATCAACCTCAAATTACGATCCGGATATTTCGTTCGGACCTCTACCCTTTGATTCTCACTGTTTGAATAGCTTATAACTGATGATATGTTATCCAAAAAATAATGACTTTTGTCACATTCAATACGTTATTATATTGACCTGAAAGATTTTGCTTTTATCTTTTGTTTAACTTTCTAATAACAGCTTCGGTCATTTAAGGACGTACCACCATGTGTGTTGTGTAAGCGTACATGTGTGTTTGTATGGTACTTGCCTCCTGGTGATAGCGCGGATCTATTGTCGACTTTAAAGTGTTATCTCACTGAAATACCATGCCGAAGGCACCCGGCACAACATTCCTCCCGGTGACATTATACTGACAGCGGTTGAACTAGCAGGTGCCATTAACCTTAATGCTGTTCGTTAATATAGGGGATAACAACTACTGTAAAGTACTTTGGTATGTCCCGGAATGGGACCAGAACCCATTGCCTTCCTCACCTGGGGAAACGTTCAATAATAAAGCCAAAAGTGATAGGGTAATGCAAGTTCTATCAACAATGACAAGTACTGTATTGATATTAATATAGACAATACTAATTCTGCATAAGGTTCCTTAAAAAACAGAAATGCTGACATTCATCCCTAAAGGTTTAAAATACAGTATTTATGAATGAGCTAATGATATGTATTTAAATACGGCATCATACCAAAATTTAAGCGTTGGTTAAATTCGAATGGATAGACGCTACGATCGTCATCACAATGTTATGTGACGTTTGCGTTTATAAAACATAGTATGATGACATAACGACTCCGTTACAATGCCTTGGTTCATCTTGCCGTCAGTCCTTCTAGGGTCTGCGATATCCAGTCCTAAACAGAATAACAAGGGGCAGACGTAACACTAAAGATGATTTCTATCGTGCTTGCAGGTCGGTGATAGACATCTCAGAAGGCACAATGGCAGATGTTGAGTTCCCGGAATGGCCACTTGTAGATTTGCTGCATGTCGATGGGAGCTAGCGATATATCTTGGCAAATGTGTAACACTGTAACAAAGATAAATGTCCCTCTCCGCACAAACTTATAGAAAATCAATTGTAATACAACTCTCTGCCTATCCGTCACAGACTTTATATATGTTTGGCCGTGATGCATGATGTGAATCAACCAATTAATGGGATAAAATCACCAGAGTCTAACGGATTCCGAATATACGTGATAATAAACTATATCGATAATTATTCTGAATAAAAAAAACCTGCACGATTTAACCAAGTGATGATGCATCTGTTTAGTATTTAAAATATAACATCCAATAAACAAAAATAGATCATATACAAACAGTTGTAATAAAAATTGTGAAAAGAAACAAATCATTTAGCATTTTATTCCATGTGTATTGGAAACATGGACTATTTTATGGGTATGCATAACCGTTTAGCATGTGAGGTTTCTGTTCACTTCAGCTCGACTAGCCATTATTTGGTTAGTGATGGCGGAGCGCTACGACCTCTACAGAGGAGACTCAGGCCTTTGAGCGTACATAATTCTGTCACGTGATCCAGGTCCTCAGCCAATTTGTAATTTTCGATTGTTGATGATGTCGCATTCAATGTATCGGTACCATTTCCCTCAATGGTGTCAAACACTCTAAAGATGATGATTTACGGGGCCTTACTACTCATGCGCAAACATGTCCCAAGATACTTCCGTGCTCTGTCCTTCCCATGAGTCAGTTGATATTAATGATTGCCGCCACACAAACGCAGGACGTCTGAGCACAAAATCACACGAAACGATGAACTAAAGTAACAAACCGGTATAAATTCTTTTCAGTTATTACGCCATAGCGTAAAATGATTCTTCGCTCTTTTCAGAAGTTATTAAATTTAGAATTACTGGAAATGCTACTGAGCTAACAACACGACATTGGAAAAACGAATTAAGTTTCAATGATAAGATTTGATTAAGGTTATGTGAATAACAATATAGTTATTTTAGAAGTTCTTACGGTATTAATTACCAAAAAAGAGGTCTATTTAAAACCATTGTTTATACAGAATACACCGGTATGATAAATGAGCAACAGGTACTCGTAAGTTAAAACCGTAAAAGAAAGAGTTCAAATGAATACATTACAGCTTTAAATAACTTATAATATCGAGTGAATGCAGAAGATATTGAAAGGCGACTCTCGTAACCGTAATAAAGCGATAATGATTAAGACAACCGAACGCCACGATATATATAGGTAGCATACCCATAATTACAAAAGGCGGTAACATGTAAGACTTGGGGAGTTACAACAGCTGTACACCAATGGTAACGACTGTGCTGTGAGGGTTTTACAGAACACGGGGGAATACAAATGTCAAATACATATTTGCAGGACTAGCTTGTGCTGAAGTAAATAAACACTTTCGTGGTTAGATCTTATTATAAAACTGGCTATCTCCATTATCAGCTATCTATCTATAACTGAGGTGTTTAGTTACTCACATTCCAAGCTTGTTCTTCAAAGGTTTAAGTGCAGTTACTTTGCCACGCGTTGTCAGGTTTTTGGCTCTTGAAAAGGCATCAAAGTTGTAAGGAACTTTGTCGAAGTAAAAGTTAAAGTAGACAATGGCCGCTACAAACAGAAGTTTTTGAAGCAAATTGAGCAAGTATAAAAGCGAGTAAAGTGTCAGCGCATTTAAGCTTATACCTCGTCTATAGCAATGGGGTGAATGTTCGTCATTCGGAGACTTCTTAATGAGACGTACATAATGTATAACATACGATAAAAACCTACAAGAGAATAGTTATTTATATGGTGTGTTTTCCCAACTGAAACCTTAACCTAGAATCTGACTTATACTTGTACTGACCCACTGACAGTAGCATTGACTCCCTTTTATATATTTTAACTCACTTAGATATCTATTCAAGCGTACCCGTAGAATACTACTCTGACCTTTTTGTGGCTTGTCAGATATTACAGACGACATATCTGACGCAAACTATCGCAAACCTTTCTTGACATGTTGAGTCCTTTGTTGACTACCTCCGTCTGACAATATCTCTCCAGACATACATTTACTCGTCATTCAAACAATTTACCTCCCATGCCCTGGAAATGATGACCCGTCTGTGTACAGGACATGACGGCCGATATTTGAAGTTGTCATGGCCCGTCTGTAAACAGGGGATGTCGGCCGATAGTTGGAGTTGACATGGCCCGTCTGTATACAGCTGTCAATTGGTCACTGAAGCTTTCATGGTCAGTTTGTGTACAACTGTCGACTGATCACTGGAGTTAACATAGCCCGTCTGTATAAAGCTTTCGACCGATCATTGAAGCTAACATGGTCCGTCTGTAAACAGGGGATGTCAGCCGATCTTTGGAGCTCGCATGGTCCGTCTGTATACACCAGTCGGTTGATCACTGGAGCTGACATGTACATCTCCCGTCTGTATACGGGAGATGTCAGCCGATCTTTGGAGCTGATCTAGACTGTCTGAAGGAAGGAAATGTCAGCCGAACTTTGCAGCTGACATTCCCTGTCTGTATAAAGAGATGTTGGCCTATCTATGGAGCTACTTTGACCCGTTTGTATACAGCTGTCGATTTATCTCTGGACCTGCCATCCCCTGTCTGTTTACGGAAGATGTCAGCCGATCTTTGGGGTTGCCATTCCCTGTCTGTATACGGAAGATGTCAGCCGATCTTTGGAGCTGCCATCCCTTGTCTGTTCACGGAAGATGTCAGCCGATCTTTGGGGCTGCCATCCCTTGTCCGTTTACGGAAGATGTCAGCCGATATTTGGTGCCGCCATCCCCTGTCTGTATACGAAAGATTTCAGCCGATCTCTACAGCTGACATTCTCTGTATGTATAAGGAAAATGTCAGCCGATCTATGGAGCTGACATCCCCTGTCTGTATACAGGAAATGTCAGCCGATCTTTGCAACTTACAGTCCCTGTCTGTATGCAGGAGATACCACCCCTATCTCTGGCGCTGCTTTGACTCGTTGGTACACAGCTGTCAAATGATCACTGGGGCCTGAAATCCTCGTACATGTATGTATACGGAAGATGTGAGCCGATCTCTGAAGGCTGATCTCAGGAACTGACATCCTCTGTTTGTAAGGATAACATGGCCCATTTTCATACAGCTGTCGACTAATCTTTGGAGCTGACTTGGCCCGTTCTAGATACAGCTGTCGACCAATCACTGACGCTAAAATTCCCCATCCTTATACAGTTGAAGGCTGATCTCTGGAGCTAACATGGCCCGTCTCGGAGATATGTTAATTCGTTGTTATCGTTCCGTCCGGCATTCTCTCTGTCAGCCAAATAGATAACGTCTACCTACTCACCCAAAAGATCACAACTGACATTTAAGGAGATGCAAGGAATCACTCGATAGGATATCAGACAAATGGAGTTTCATTATTGCTCTGCATTTTGTTGTGTTTACATTATTAAACTTTTTCTTTTCGTTATACCATGCAATTCTTTCCAAGATATCATTCAGTATTAAATAATAAATTGAGAACAGATACATATTGTTTTGCTGAAACTGTCTTAGATATTTTTTACGTTTAACCTCATATGATCATTTTCCTTTCCGAAATGTTACACCCCGGTTTTCTCATGTACCCGTCACGCATGTTCCTGCTCACAAACACGCTGTGTGGCAATTCTGCACGGGGTCGTCACATCTTAAATCATGTCTGAAACCCGATCAGACGATTTCGAAAACATCATTCATTGTCGACTGATTCCATTAGTTACACTGAAATACCTGTCAAAGTTTATACTCAAATTTATCATCATGTGGTATTAAAAGGATTAAAATTCGATTTACAAGGCCAATTAGTGAATACATGTAATTTTAAACAATCATTTTCTGCAAACATATTGAAGAATCCATTTATTTTTTTATGAAAAAAAGTTTTACTCCTTTTTTTCTAATCAAATACATTGATTTCTATATTTCTTTTATGAATCTGGAAATTTATTTTGATAACCTTGAAATGTGGATAATTAGTCATGACAGTCTGAACTATGTGATAAGGTTTCCAGGCGACCCTTGTGATTAACAATCCCCATATCTGTCGGATACAACTCTGATTGTACATTTCAGTTACTTAAATTAAAATCAGTTTAATGATTGCATATATTTAACGGATCAAGGATAAATCAATTCTCTCACTTGTGTTGAGGTTATCTTTTTAATAATTAATTCACAATCACCTTTTCATGGAACATTTACGGTTGATATTTATATTACACAATCATAAAGCCGATCGGTCGAACTATCATACAGACGTCTTGGGCAGATATCACATGATGTTCTGATAATTCTGCGGTAATAATAAACAAGCAGTTATCGGTGCTTTCTGTCTTTCTAATTAACTCGCACATTAAGTAACTCATTTGGTCAGTAACAAAACTGCCAAGATCATACACAGAACGTGACGATTGCTACACAGACCGAGGGACATCAATACAACTATTAACGTGTTCAAATGATAGATCTGCGGACATCTCAATTAATAACTTAGGAAGAAATATCTTGGAACAGACCAATAATCCTTGCTTCAGGAAATTTAGTTTATCAAGGGACACAACGATAACTGAAATCCAAAATTATTTCTTTACTGAAAAGACATTTAACATATAAATAATCATACATGTAGGCTCTTTGTCAGTAGTGATAGACCCTTCATTATAAAATAGTGACCGTGAATCTATGGATAGTTCCAATACTATTACGACTAGTGTTATAATAATAATAATAATAGTATATAAAATTTACCCTATATAATTTGTAAAATTACTCTAAAATGCTTTACAACATATGGAAAATAGTATTAGTTATAATTGTGAAACAAAAACAAAGGCTTACAATCTCTTTTATACATTAGGCAAGCAGATATTCATCGCAATGTGCACATAAATGAATACATAAAGGGTGGTATTTACATGACGACTTTGCAAAGAGCCTAAAACGCAGACCTGGAGGGGTGAGTTTTGATGTCCTTCTTGAATTGACCAGGGTATTTAACCTTCTAATAACAGATGGTAAGCTATTCCACAACGTGACCGAAACCCTCCCAAAGTACCGGTTTACATAGGTCACAGTACAATTTTGAGACACACAACAATGATTCTGACTCCGACCGCAGTGATCGTGACGGCTGATACAGGGTAACAAGTTCCTGTGTTAACCGTTTGGGATTTGCTACCCACAGTGTAATGACAAAGTGTGGTTAGAGTACCCATCTGGTGTTTGGTTAAAATGAATTATTTCAAAATCCTCACAAAAGAACAGAAATATATTCGGTAGCTTTATAAACACAGCTAAACCAGTCTGTATCAAACTTTTACTTTCTTCACAAAAGCGTTTACATAGCGACATGTCACAACGCTTCCAGTTCATTATAGATGTCGAATGCTGACGGACCAGCTCACAAAACAAGGTTGCGAGATATGCAGGTTGATGAAGATGTAATAGTGTCGTAAATGAAGGCAAAAGACTCGCTTATCCTCCCGGAACACCTGGTCTATTCTCCTTATACTTTGTAAAATGAATAACGGTTTCGTTGACACTTCGGTTTTTTCCCTCACTTTTCTGTCAAACCAAAGGTTCAAACCTCAAAGGTTGCACCACGTCTATCTAAAAATATGTTTTTTGATATAGTATGTGCATTATACAAACGGATTGAAAGGTCATCGCAAGGCATGTTATGTCAAAAAATATTATAAAGCATTGAGGTGTGCCATAAGGAGCTGCTTGTTCCATTTATTATCTGTGTCAAATTTTAAACACTAGAAGGACGCTAAACAATACAGAGCAATACATCAAATGGGAAAACAGATGCGCTTATGGAACATTTAAAATTAATCTGCCAATCAATGATTATTTTTGGATTAATGCAACGTCCCCGGCATTGCAAATATCGATATGTTGTCTGATTTCTACTTTATGAAATCTTACTCCGCTTTGAGATGTATTATTATGTTTTATCGTTCCATGAATCATGACAATTAAACACACATTGTGTGAAAGATCAGGATCGATTTCAAAATCGGCATTTAAATCATTTTTCAAATTCACCGAAGAACGATGAGAAGTGAATACAATCTGATGATATCGTGATTAGGGTGACAGTTGTCTGCGTATAGGACAGATTATGTCAATATCTCAAACGGAGATGGCAATCATATGTGTAGAATAGATGACGTCAGTATTTTTCACGAAGATGGAAATACTGTGTATAGGGCAGACTATGTCAGTATCTCTCATGGAGATGACAATACTGTGTATAGGGCGGACTATGTCAGTATCATAGAGATGACAACACTGTGTATAGGGCGGACTATGTCAGTGTCATAGAGATGACAATACTGTGTATAGGGCGGACTATGTCAGTATCATAGAGATGACAATACTGTGTATAGGGCGGACTATGACAGTATCATAGAGATGACAATACTGCGTGTAGGGCGGACTATGTCAGTATCATAGAGATGACAATACTGTGTATAGGGCGGACTATGTCAGTATCATAGAGATGACAATACTGTGTATAGGGCGGACTATGTCAGTATCATAGAGATGACAATACTGTGTATAGGGCGGACTATGTCAGTATCATAGAGATGACAATACTGTGTATAGGGCGGACTATGTCAGTATCATAGAGATGACAATACTGTGTATAGGGCGGACTATGTCAGTATCATAGAGATGACAATACTGTGTATAGGGCGGACTATGTCAGTATCATAGAGATGACAATACTGTGTATAGGGCGGACTATGTCAGTATCATAGAGATGACAATACTGTGTATAGGGCGGACTATGTCAGTATCATAGAGATGACAATACTGTGTATAGGGCGGACTATGTCAGTATCATAGAGATGACAATACTGTGTATAGGGCGGACTATGTCAGTATCATAGAGATGACAATACTGTGTATAGGGCGGACTATGTCAGTATCATAGAGATGACAATACTGTGTATAGGGCGGACTATGTCAGTATCATAGAGATGACAATACTGTGTATAGGGCGGACTATGTCAGTATCATAGAGATGACAATACTGTGTATAGGGCGGACTATGTCAGTATCATAGAGATGACAAT